GGCAGATCCTGCCCTGGTCAAGGCAAACCTTGGGATGATGTCTCCCATTCCTCAGGCCCTAGGCAGTGATGCTGTCTCAGAAATGCATGCTACATGTGAGCACCTTTGCCACCAAAGCACTAGGTCCCATCCCAGCAAGGACCAAAAGATCCAAGGGGAAAAGCTATGATCCTCCTCCGCCTGAGGCTGCCTCACCACCCACTAGGAGGAATAGTACAATCACTCTGAAAACAAGAAGTAATCACTGTAAAACATTAAACAAAAACAGGCCAATTGCATTTACCTCAGAAGCTCAAATACGTAAAGCTGTTACAGAATTATGGACATGACGGTCAAACATGAGGTGTGATCAAAATACACAGTGAATGTTCAGGTTTTTAAAAAAAATTATTACAGAAAAAGACCCATTGGCATTAATTCCCCTCAGAATCTTCCCCCAGCTTTGAACACACCTCATTGTCCTTCTAACTTTCCGAAGGAGTGCTGCAGTCCTCTTTCCTGTCTTTGAAGAGTGTCCAGGACTATGGTGAATGCTGCTGCTGGGCACCATCCAGTGAAAAGTCAGGCTTGGGCTGAGGATTTAGCTCAGTGGTGCCGCCACCTGCCCCACAAGTGCAAGGTCCCAAGTTCGATTCCCAGTACCCACCCCCACAAAAAGTCAGGCTTGCAAAATTGTCACAGTGCATCCTCACCCACCTTGTCCACTTGACCTGGCACTGTGTGACTTCCAGCTCTTCCCCAACGTCAAGATGACTGAAAGGAAAAGGTTTGGGATCAGGACATGGAAACAGCCACAAGAGCAGTCAAGGACAGCGGCAGCAACAAAGGGATAAGTGTGGGGGGGATTTTGAGGGAAATGAATGGCAGTGTCTTTTTCTATGATTTTTTATTTAAACATCATGTTTCAATACAACATTTAGATGTGCAGAATGCACACTGGTCAGTGGGTAACCCACTGTGTTTTGGGGGTTGCTCTGCCTCTGGTGGACACATAGCATAGCATCCCCAGCCTGTTTCCTCTCCCTGTGAAGATCAGAGTTGGACTTGACCCACATGACCAAGGCCGAGCTCTTCTGCATGGGCACTGTGCACTGAGTACCCCTGGCCATCTGCAAGAGCTCCTGCAGTGTTCTCATCACCTTCTTCCCCTTGGGCCTGCAGAGTGGCAGGTGATGTTCAGCTCCCTGACCTACAACAAAGCCGAAATCAACCGGTGGACCTGAAGGATTACCGGGAGAGCTTGGAGTGAGTGGTCATCATCAAAATGCAGCATGGACAAGAGTGAGAGGTACAACTGCTGCAAGGATCTACCCTGATGTTATTCCTCACCACTGGCTGCTGCTCTTCCACACCATCACCCCATCGTCCCGTGCCTGCTCATCTCCTGCCTCACCATCTTCTACCTGTCCTCTGGCTGTACTGAGATCATGCTCTGCATCTGTGTGCTGCTCTCCCTCAGCATCTTCCTGTTACTCATCACCGAGGTCATCCGGCCCACCTTGCTGGTCACCTCACTCATTTGCTTCACTGTGATCTCCATGGCCCTCTCCTTGGTAATCTCAACCTTCACGCCACCTGCACCACCCCTCAGCCAGAACTCACACCATACCCCGCGGGTTTGCTTGGTCCTGCTGGGCTCTGTGCCCAGGTGACTGCTTGAGAACCTATCACAGCCACCACCCCTGGAGCTCCAAGGGAACCTGGCCTGAAGCTCAGCTCCTGTTATCACCGGCTGGAGACCACAGTGGATGCCGAGGAGTGGGAGGAGGAAGAGAAGGAGGACAGGTAGGTGTGCGTGGGCCTCCCAGCCCCTTCTGTGGGTGTCTTCTATGGCTGTGGTGGCCTGCACCCCAGGGCCTCATGGGCCCATGGCTGAGGCTGCATCAGAGAAGTGGGAGGTTGTTCTGTCACCTTGCATGCAGAAGGCCCTGGAAGTTGTGCCCTACAATGCTGAGCACCTGTGGTCTGAGGATGATAACACTGCAGTTTGTGGGACAGGTGAGGCCCCTTCCTGGATGTCTCTGCCAGTTCAGCAGGAACCATCTTTTCTCAGGGCATTAGCTTGGGCCAGCCCAGTCTCCTCCTTCAAAGACTGGTTCTCTGGAATCTGGAATCAACTGTAAAAACATCTAGCTGGCAGTTCTTGAGACACTTAAACAGGCAGAAGAGTACCAGGTGGAGAAGAGAATGCCCCCTCTAGCTCAGGTCTGTAATCCCGGCACTCTTGCAGGCTTAGGCAGGAGAATTGCAAATTCAGTTTTACCTGGGGAGCTTAGCAAGACCCTGGACCAAAATAAAAATAAAAAGTTCAGGGGATATAGCTCAGTGTGATCTGTCCTAGGTGCAATCCCCAGTACTTTTCATGAGCAATATGAAACACACACACACACACACACACACACACACACAACCCTCCCTCAGCATTTTTATCTGCATGTGGGGAGGGACAAGGAGGTGCCAGGTGTATCAGCCTGGGCATCCTCACCTTCCTCCTTTGTGTTGAAGTCACCACCTCCCTTTACTCAGGGACTCGGCATTTTGTGAATGTCACTTGTTTCCTGCAAGCCCTGCAGATTCTTGGTTGTGTGATGTGGGCTCCCCTCCCTGGCCCCAGCCATGTGTACCTGTCAGAACTGGGATTCCTGTTATCAATCTGTGGAAGGAGGAAGGGCATGTGGTGATTGCTGCATGGCTTTGTTGAGTAGATAGGAAAATCAGTCTTTCATTTTGGAGCAGCAGAGTCTGGATCCCTTGGCCTGGGCCATGAGCCCAAGCTCTATAAGTCCCCTGGCTTGCCTCCAGTGCACTGTGGGTCACAGTGACTTATGTCTTCCTTCTGTGTCTCCTGTAGGTGGATGGGAAGGCAACATGGGCAGCAAAGTCTTCACCACTCTTTAACTGTAGACTGCATGGCACACCCCAGGAGGGTCCACGCCCCAAAGTGGCTCCAGTATGTCCTTGTGTCCCTGTGGCCTCCTTTCCTGGAACCCGAGAGCAGTGGCCAGCTCTGGGCCTCATGGAGGGTGAGACAGGACACGACCATTGGGAGGTTGGGGATCCTGGAGCTAACCCTGTTCCCTCTCTCACCCCACCTCTGTACCTGCACTGACCTTGGCTTCCCAGGTCTCTGGGGGCCATTGGCTCTGCCCCTGTGTTTGTCCCTACTGGAGCTATGCACAGGAAGGCCTGGCCTCTGTCACTGTGAGCCATTTTGTTCCTGCAGGTGAAGGAAGACTGGAAGTATGTTGCCATGGTCATTGAGAGGATGTTCCTGCTGTTCATCACTATCTGTTTCTTGAAAACCACTGGGCTGTTTCTTCATCTATTCCTGGCTGGAATGATCTGACTCCATGTCTTTTTTTGTTGGACCCATGTTAACTCCCCCAACCATCTTGTGACATCTTTAACTGTCCTTTGGGGTCAGCGCCATCTGCCCATGGTTCCTCTGTGGCGTCCCTACACTGTCTCAGAGGCTGCAGCCTTCTGGGCAAAGTTCACCTTGACATTGTTACTGTATCCCATATTGTGATAGCTCGACGTAAAGCCCTTCTTTGGAGGCTGCAGAGCTGGAAAAGGTGAAGGCATCTGTTGTATAAGAATGTTCTTCAGAAACATGTGAGAAAGAAAAGGGGCAGACGAGAAAGGGGGAGAGAGGAGCAAGCATAAGAAGGGAGTGGGAAAGAGGGTCAGGAAGTGGAGTGGGGAGCTTTGTGGTTCTCTGCAGTCTTGGGGTCTCCTCCTTCTGCACTCCCACACACCTCTCCCTGGCAGGCCCGGGGAAACTGTACCATGACCGTGGCCCAGGCTCCATCCTCAGTGCTCTCTTAAGACTTCTGCTTAGTGGCCCTTTCTGGCCTGGGCTCTTCCGCACCCCTGTGAGTGCAGCCCTGGCCTCCTCTGCCTGCCATCTGTTCATGCTTGTGCAGCTCCCTGGGTGTGGCCTCCTGGCACACGTCACATGCCACGTCCATGTCTCCTGTCCATCTTGCATTTAGTGAAGCCGCATGTGCTGGCCTGGCCATGGTGTGGGTCCTCCTTGCCATCCACACTTCAGTGGCTCAGGCATCACCCAGGGCTCTCCAGAACCCATGTGGTTTGGGTTCAGCCAGTAGAGACGGTCCCATGGAGAGGATGGCCCTGGGCCCTTGCTCAACGGCTGCCCTTTGGTCAGGCGATCCTGCTGCCCACATAGGGGTGAAGGGCTGCAGCTCACATGACCCTACTACCAAGTATCACCACATGCCCTCTTTAGCCGAGGCTCAGGTTAACAGGTCTGCACCCGAGATGACAGCTGATGTCTTCCAGGGCTGTGCTGGTGCAAGGTCAGCAGATTAAACAATGCAGACAAACTGCAAAGCAAGGGGTACAATTTTTTATTTCAGTATCTGGGCACTGGGGATCAAACTCAAGGCAGACTTGAGGCAGGGTTGGTGCAAGTGGTACAATTTTAATTCCACCATAAGTCAAGTCTAAAGATGTTATAAGAATGTTCTTTTCAAACATGTAAGAAAGGAAAGGGGTAGATGAGAAGCAGGAGTAAGAAGGGGCTGGGAAAAGGGCAGAAAGAGTATATTGTGCTCCAGAAGCCTGTTTGGCTTCTGTCTCCTTGCTTCTTCTCCTAACACTGGCTTTGGTAATAAAACAGCATCCTGTGCCCTCGCCCCTAACTAGCTTTTTCCTGGACTGTGTCCTGTGGGTACCACCCCACTGACCATGCTCACAGTGGGCTGTACACAGTGCAAGCTGCAAAGAGTTAACCTACAATTGGCTTGTTTTAAGAAATGAGTCTGACTGAAGCCTACGTGACTCATAGGAACAATGGGGATGGTGTGTGAGTCAGTATCACCCCCTCCAACCGTCATGGCAGAGGCCAGAGAAATGGTCCCTGAAGCTGTGGGACTTAATATGAGATAACACAGCTAAGGTCAGGTTGACTCTCACCCCAATTCCATTCTCAAAATTAAAACCTTAAAAAGACAAGGTTATTTGTTAACCACAACCTATATCTGGCCTGTTTTGTTCCTAACACAAGAATGCTTTGCCTCTTCTACAAACCTTGCCTTCATCAGCAACTTATCCCTAGCAACTACATGTTGTTCCTTTACCCTAACTTAACTATGATTGTGTCACCAGTAAATATCAGTGGCTTTAGCTGACCAGGGTCTTTTCTGTTTGCTCAGCACTGGGCATCCTGGCTCCTGTCTCTCTAAATCTTTTTTCTTGCACCAAGCAGGAGATTGACATCTACTACAGGGATTGCTGATAGTGTCCCAGAGCTCCCTCAAGAGAGCTATCAGTTCCAACCAAACTCATTCACCAGCCTGCTGACCCCTGAATAAAGCCTCTTTTTGGCCCTTCTGTGCATCCAGGAAAACTTGAGGGCTGAAAAGGAAGGAAAAGAGATAGCTTGGCTCCTCAGTGGGCTTGCCTGTTCTTGCATAAAGCCATTGGGAATGACGGGGCATCACTGTGACCCTAACTAGGTGTCCCTGCACTCAGGCTGGAGTGGGAGGTAGGGCTGGTGCAGATAGCAGCACCACTTCTGAACTATGCATCACTCCCTCAGATCCATACCAGAGTCCCTCAGTCCAGCCACAGCCTGAGCAGCAGTCTGGGGCAAGCTAGGGAGTGTGTCATAGTGGGTGGGGAGGACTCCCCTCTTTCCCCAAAAGACCACATGACTAAAGGTACAGAAGTGCTGGGGGCAGAGCTGCAGGCAGGTGAACCCCACTCTTGGTCACTGCTGGTGGATGGGCCAGATTGGCCAGTCCTTGGCCTGGTTCATGGCATCCATGGCCAAGATGTGGGAAGCCATGAGCCTCTGCTTGCACTGCTGGCTCGGGAAGCTTGCTGCCTTCTGCTGCACCAGTCACATCTTGTTGCTTAGTTCTAGCAGACCTTTGGTGAAGTGATTGTGGGTCCCCTCAGTTTGTAGATAGAACACACCTTGGAGGGTGAGGAAGGGTGTTGACCAAGGCAATACAAGTTCCCTGAGGACAAATCTGGCTGGACTGAGTCCACAGAACAACATGGCAGATATCCCATTCTCCAGCCAACCCACCTTGACACAGCCCGAACAGAACTCTCTTCACAGCAACATCCAGACATTAGCTAATGTTCAGGAGAATGATCAGAGGAGTAGTCAAGTACATTTAGCAAGATACTGGTTTTTTTTTTGGGGGGGTACCAGGGATGGAACTCAGGACCTTGAGCATGCAAGGCAGGCATGGTGCCACTGAGCTAAATTTT